AATGTTTGGTGCGGTATTATCGAGGGCAAAATTATTACGTACATTTTCGAAGAAAATTTAAATGGGGCAAGATATTTGGACTTTTTAGTCAACCACTTACCAGCTTTATTAGAAGATGTTTCTTTGGAAACCCTCAGGAACATGTGGTTTCAACATGACGGTTGTCCGGCGCATTATGCTCGCAATGTAAGGGAGTATTTGGATAACCAGTTTCCTGCTAGATGGATTGGAAGGGGTGGTCCATTTGCTTGGCCACCTAGGTCTCCCGATTTAACTGTCTTAGACTTTTACTTATGGGGAAGAGTAAAAGATGCAGTTTATACGACTAGACCAACAACGCGAGAAGACATGATTTTGCGCATACAAAATGCAATACAGTCAATTTCTGTAGCAGAGATAGAAACTGCTGTATCATCGACCCGACGAAGATTTGATATGTGTATTGAAAATAATGGCGGCCATTTTGAACATCTCAAATGAAAACTTATAGCCTTAAGCAGTACGTAGGTACCCAAGTTATTTGTTTTGTATCTAGCCTTTAATTTGTTTGTCCTTTTCATTTATAAGATTGTAATAAAAAAACAACATTTTAAAACTTTATGAGTGAAATTTCATAATCAGATTCAAATTTCCTCCTGACAGTGAACTTATTGTCACATTTTAATTTTGAAATTATTTTTAAAATATCTGACTACCGGTTTGCACCCGTGTTTTGTTAGGCTCAGCATTGGAATATTTGGTTTCAGCATGCTCGCCATGTTATAATTGTTATTTACAATTCAAGTTACAAGTACATTAGGATTTCACCGGACGATTCTGTGTATGACGAGTTTGACACAAAAAAAGTATTATTCTGACATTCTTGAAATGGACAATTATTTTGTATTTATAGCCTTCTTGATATTGAAAAAATATGCATTTATTACGCTCGTAATCTTATAAACACATTTTTATTCATAACTTTTGTTTAAAAAACAGTAGAGACTTCCGGTTTGCGGCATTCTTTTCTAAATCTATTGCAGAATATGACACTTTATTAAAAAATATGTCATTACATTTGAAATTTTTAAGAAATCATCAATAATTGGTGACAATTACAAAAAGCGACATCTGGTGGTTTGTTGAGGAATTTGCCAGAATATTTAAAATTGTATTCTTATTCTACCTTAAATTACCTATCAAACGATCAAAAGTTTATTCGAATGGGATAAGACAAACCGAAGTTATGGTGATTTTTGTATACCGTTTTTCTTTTGTTTTTGTTGTCGTTGTTTGAAGAGTTAGAACAAAAAGTGTTATACAAAAGTTTTAGGTATTGACTAGGATATGCAGAATACTTTAAAAAATACCTACGTTTGTATTTGACTTCTTCAAGAAAAAGGAGTTTTTAAATTTTCAATCTGTATTACGCCACCTAGCGGTCATTTTAGGAACTTAAAACTATTTTAGTTGAATTTTTCTTGACTGCTTTACATAAGATAGTTTTTTTCCTAAAACTGTGGGACCAATAGTTTCTGGGATGAAGCCGGTCGATAGGCTTAATGGGACACCCGGTATATAATATAGTGAAATTGAAAAATATGAGAAAAACAATCAGAGGAAACAAGCATTCTAGGAAATGAGTCACTTCGATTTAACGGTATACAGGGTGATACAGATTTCAATCGGGAAAATTCTAAAACGACATACAGGGTGTTGACGTTATAGATACATATACGTTTTTTCTCATGAAAACTAAGCAGGATACGTTGAAAATATGGAACAAGAGGGGTGTAATTTGTATTGCTGAATCGAATAAAAATATTATACTCAGAAGAAATAGAGCAAAACGATACTGGAATTATCAAGAATTTGAACACAACAGAGTTCAGCGAAAATCGGCTGAGGAGTTTTTGAGCTGTTGTAAAGAACAATATTTTCTTATATATTCACCCCCTTCATTTTGAAATCATGAACTTCTCTTGATTTTTACGGCTATCGAATCCTAAATCACTGAATTATACTCTAAGAAAATAAATATTCAAGGAAACTAGAGGAAAAACCCTATGCTCAATCGACTCACCGAGTTTTATCACCCTGTATAATTGCGAACAAGAATACTAAGTGATTTCAAGAAAACATCACCTTATATCAACGATTTATCTATTTATTTATTAAAAATAAGAAGGTGATATCAGATGTTTGATATATTTCCTTGAGATTCAGATTTCTAAAATTAAATAGTAGATTCATCTATGATGGCTACATAACAGATGAACATGCTATTTTTGTTCAGATACGTCACTGTTATTACGAATCCCCACTGGAGTGTCATCAATTATTTAAATCAATGCTATCCTATCGTCCCGTTGTCCTATGTATTTATAATACTATGTTATTTATGTTAATTGGTATCTGGGTCACATGAGTGCAACAATTTGAACAGGTGTCTATTTAGGATGTTCGAAAATATGATTTAAATAAAGAACCAAATATTTGTTGTTAGTTCCCAAGTACATACCTATTCAGTTATTGAACGATGTTTCATTGAAAAACGGAAATATACGTGTACGTTAACAGTACTTACCATAAGTTTTACCACTACCCTAATAACCGCTATATAGGGTTCGAATTGGAAAATATATCCTAAAATACCAAAATTATATTCAGAGAACCTGAACTATAACAACAACTATAATTAGTTGTCATCTTCAGTGAAACCTTTGAGTATTCACACTAGTGTATATAATCAAGGGTGAAACTGAGGGAAAAATAGAGATTGGCTGACTATAAATATCTCACTATACAGGCCTTTATCTTATTCCGTTTCATTGTTTAGGACTGAACTTTGTCGAGTCATTATTGTTATTTATATTCTTTGACAAAATGTTCATTTCTGAGTATTCTATTTTATACTTGGCACAAATATATTGTATTTTCTTCAGAATACTCGGGCAAGTATATCCGTTGATGGGTAGGTAAGAATATGGAAAATAAATTATATATATTTGTATATTCAAGAAAACCTCAGTGTTCTCATTACTATTTCTGTTAACAACATTATGTCCATGGAAAATACTGAGCCATTTTGGTGATCATAAAATAACATGTCAAACTGCCAAAGAAAACAAGCTACTGCTGACAAGTGGTTTTATTTTCATTTTTATTTTTATGAATATTGAAAGCGTCAGTCCAGTCAGATATTACTGAAATTCCATGATTTCTGTAGGTATATACTATTTCGGATGGAGTTCGCAAAATCAAAGAGAAACCATTATATACTGTTATGAGTGACAACAAATTGAGAAAAATCTTGTATTATGAAAACTAATGAGATGTATTTGATCTAGGCATTTGAAGCTATATCTCTTTTCAACTCGTTATTCAAAATTACAGGAACCAATTTGTTAAATCACTTAGTAAACATTTAAATCAAATCGATCGATTGAACACAGTTTCATCAGTTAAACATAGACGTCCAAATTTTTTTTTCGTAGTTTACCTTCCTGTTGGAAAATGATATCTCGGATCATTATGACACAACACACTTATGAAAGTGAATAAGGTGGTATTTTAAAACCTGGGACAAAAAGTTTCGAGCCCGACCAACAGGAGGGCTATAACTAGTCGAAGAATTCAAAATCACTTTTGCCCTGAGGTTTAAATTTCTGAAATTAGCTTTCATAGCGAAGAAATTTACCTTAAATCAGAGAGTACTTTGAATCCATATTTTCGGGGAGAAAGTGATACTTTAATTCCCTAAAGATCTGATGTACATTCTAAATGCCTAGGGATTCAAAGTACCACTGTTTCCTTGAAAATCCCTAATTTTCTAGTGTCCTAGTGTAGGCACTATTTACCTCCTAATCGCAACTTAAGGGTCAAGTTGATCCCAGCATATTTCCAAAATATGATTCTCCCTTCAATATATTCGCAAGGAACACATCTTTTACCATAGTTTGATGATGATGTTTTGTGCGTATATAGGGAGGACATGTAGAGAAGGTAGCTAATTTTTTTTAATTCGGAGATTTTCAGCTCTTAGGAATAATTCCCTAGTAAAAAAACAAATTTTCATTGTTTCATATTCTGGTAGTTTTGGTAGAGATTTGTTCGACGTAACCCGAGGATGAAGACGAAAGGATGTCCTGAATGAGCTTGTCGAGTTCATCTGACTGGTATTTCTAGTGATGGCATGATAGGCTGGAATAATCATTATAGAATCAAACAAACTTACAACTGTGTGAATGAAGGTATTCTTCTCCAAGCGGCAGAAAAAGTGGATTTTCTCTGGCCTTCAACGGACAGGAAAAGTATACTTACTCTGCCTAGGCAGAAAAAGTTTCTTGTTATACAACATTTCATGGGATTTGAATGAAATTGAGACTGACACTGGGTGAATGAGGAATCACACACCATTGGTTTCATTACATTTGGAGCAAGAATTATGTTTCAGATGGCTGGCTAAGTTCCTATAAGCCGAGGCAGTCAATCTACCACTTTGCTGCTTATAATTAAACAAATAATTATCCAAAGGTAGCCATAGAAGGAATATGAGCTCTTAAGCGAGAACGATCCCTATATAATGCTTTTGGAGACAATTCCATCACCCTTTATCGAAAGAATTCATGTAGGTACTAAAATCTGGTGGGTGGCGTACCGAAAATTGTGAGTCACTACGTCCTATATCTCCATTACGGAACGTTTCAGAGCATAATATGGTCATGAGAAAAGAAAATTCGTATTCCATCGACCTCAACCGATTCTTGGAGTATTAGCATTGAAATTTGATCACCCTGTATTCCTTGGTCAAAAACAGTAACTCAAATAATGTTGAGGAGTTTGAGGAAGTCCGCGAGTTATGTTCAAAAAAAAATTTGTTCCCTATCAAACACCAATGGAAACCACAAATACTTCTTCGAAAAAACCACAAAGAAAACTTCATGAGAAGATCGATCACAAACTTCTGAGAAATATTTCCAAAACCACAGACACACACATTCATCCTAATATCCCCAGAAGAAAATTGGAAAGGGACGCCAGTCGAAAAATGGTCAAAATATCAGTCGCCGCGACGCTATCGACGAGCACAGACATGCTGAGCATCGGGCGCCGCCGCATACACTGCTCAACTCAACAAAAGTCAACGTGAAAAAAAAAACACAGTGCCTCATGTGACTCAAACCCCGTGCTACCAACATGGCAAGCCAGACCAGCGACAATGCATCCCTCAAGTCCTCGGGGAGCAAGCCCAAGACCCCCAGCGCGGATGGGGGCAGGAAAGTGGGCTTCGCGAGGCCCAGCCTCATCATTCCGCCACCGCAGATCCAGAGGCAGTACCCCCCGTACAGCGCCAACAGGAACTTCACCCCCATGACCGCCACTACTGGGCCTACCCCTGAGATGTACGGAAGGAAGGCCTCCATGTTCATGTTCGACCAGTTCAACGGGTTGAAGGACTTCACCATGAACACTGCCAAATCTGGGATGGGAATAGGGGAGAAGTGTTCGTACTGGGTGTATGCGAAAATAAAGGCGCTGAGTAGGAAGTGGTTCACGCACTGTTTTCTGTCGATCGTCTTGATTTGTTACACTATTGGAGGTGCTGTGATTTTCACAACGATTGAAGGTGAGTTCCTGAGGGGAGTAGGTACATAGCTGGAAAGATGCGAAAATAAAGGCGCTGAGCACGAAGTGGTTTACGCACTGTTTCCTGTCGATTGTCTTGATTTGTTACACCATTAATCATTCCAGAATTACGTCATTTGACTGGTTGTTGAGGGGCAAACATTGTATAACCAGAATAAGCGGGATCGTTTTCCTTGGAATCCGAGTTTGAATCAGAAAGAATTTCATAATTTTGTTTGGTGAAACTGTTATTATATTCTGGATGTGGCAGGGATGGCCAGGGCATGCTCATCGAAGATAACCTAACAGATAGTTTGTGTGCCCCTCAAGAAACCATGTCAAAATCACGTGTTCTAGAATGAATTGGAGGTGCTCTGACACTGACAACGATCAATGACGGCTAAATGGACTGTCTGACGGGTTATACTCGTCAGACAGTCCATTTAGCCGTCATTGCAACTATTGAAGGTGAGTTCTTGAGGGGAGTAGGTACATAACTGCAAAGATTAGCACTAGGAGTTATTGCGAAATCATTTTATAATCATTACCTTTCATCCAAATTATCATGAAATTTCCCCATTCAGATTGTAGTCCAAGCATATTGATATGTCTGCAAGCTCAGGCTGATTAGAGTCACTGGATGGTATTAGTCAGATGAGAGTTCGGACACAGAAATGACAATGGTTATGGTTTTTGAATGTTTATATTTATTAAGTTACACACCTTGCATTGTGACAAGAGCACCATAGTCGTCCCGCACTTTTTCATTTAGAATTTGAATTTGACAATAAATCTTATAGACGTCAGAATTGAAATAGAATTTCATAATTATACTTACTACTCTAAGGCTGATTAGAGTCACTGGATGGTATTAGTTTGATAAGAGTTCGGACACAGGTGAACCTTATTTGTCCTTTTCTATTTTCTATAATACAATGGTTTAAGTGAATGAAAGGATAAGACATATATTCTGCTCATTGTCTTTTCAATTTCCCTAGTAGCGCCTGATTGTCAGATACGATTTTAGAGGTTTTATTTTTTGTCGAATCAATCATAGCCGTAGATGGGCAATGGATATAGGGTACAAACTCCCAGTTCAATTCATAGTGATACACTTCGAGCAAGATTTATATAAAGGAAAAAAATGCATGTAACAACATTTTAATATCAGAGAATATATACATATGGATAAACTTATAGCTATAAATCATTATTGTATGTGGAACTGTACTCTAGTGAAGTATTCCTGAGACAATTTCGAGAAATGAAGTCTATATAAGCTTGTGTCTGGAAATGCTTCATTTAGGAGATACAGGGTGTTGAAATACAGAGAACAAATCATTTTTTGATAAAGATTTCATGGGAGAAAAGTAATTTATTGTGACGAGACCTACCAAATACTTGGTTTTGTTAAGTTCTCAGCTACTTCACTTAACGCCCTAGGAGCTAAGTAACATCATGGATCGATATAGAAAATATCTCCAAAACGATAACCTCCAGCGTAATTGAGGCCCTTATAATAATTCCCTTGATACATAAATTCAATTTTCACTGTTGAATTTTCGCGATCAGCACCAAAACGCCATTCAATAATATATCACGTTGTAGTTTACTTGCTTTTCTTTTAGTTTCGTTTTCAAATTTTCAATTTCATAATGTAATTTTGCGATCATTCCCCTTTTTCCATGATTATTTTGTTTTGTATCTTGTGTGTTGATAATAATGGAATTTTGTTCTTGAAATCGTCTGCTCTGTAAATTGATGGAACAGCAGATTCTCTCAAACAGATTTTGAAATCTTCTGTTTGAAAATGGCCCTAAAAAATAGATTCATTCTAATCAGATGTTCATTATTCCAAATTTTTTGGGATTTTCCCTCCTCGTTTCTATAAAATAAAAATATGAATATTTCAATATACGTGTAGTAAGGACAAATCAGATGATTTGCCCCAAAATGTCACTGCGTTTAAAGAATTTTCCTATCAGAGAGCCTAAAAGAAAAATTCACTAGCTTGTCAGTGACAATTTGTATTGAAAAATTTTTGGAGAGGAGAAATAAAGGTATATAAAAAATATCAAATTTTCATTTCGGGACCGATTCTGCTCCCGTTTTCAACATGAATAGATTTTTTGAATTGCGAAGTCGTATAACATGTCTTGAAGCTTTTCAGTTTTCAATGACAATTGGTGACGTTGGCAATCAAAGGAGTTACAGGATGTTTTCATTAATTAATCTTGAATTTACCATGGTAAATGAATGTACCACCTCCTCGATTAACCTACAGACAGTATTTAATCAGATGTTGTTATAAGAAGTGAATTTCAATGAGTACCTCACAAATTTCGCTCGTCTTCAAATTGATTTTCCACCCAGGCCGTTTCATATCTTCCTTCCATAAGCGAATGCTTGATATTTGATTTGGAAAATCGAATAAATGATAACCATTTGTTTCAAAATTGGCACAATTTATTATACAGCAAGTGATTTCCATAGCTGCTTTTATCTCAAAAGTATAATGATTATGAAATTATATTTCAATTCTGACGTTTATAAAATGAATTGTCAAATTCAAAAAATTTTGAATGAGAAAGCGCGGGACGACTATGATGCTCTTGTCACAATGCAAGGTTTGTAACCTTATAAATCTAAACATTCAAAAACCCTAACTGTTGTCATTTCTGTGTCCGAACTCTTATCAAACTTATATCCAGTGACTCTAAGGCTGATCATTGCCAAATCTAGAGTCACTGGATGGTATTATTAGATGTCAAATCTGGCATGGGGATTGGGGAGGAGTGTTCGTACTGGGTGTACGCGAGAATAAATGCGCTTAGCAGGAAGTGGTTCACGCACCGTTTCCTCTCGATCGTCCCGTTTTGTTACACTATTGGAGGTGCTTTGATGCTCAAACCGATTGAAGGAGTTATTGGGAAACCAAAATCATATACTTTCACCCAAATTATCATGAAGGTTCCTCAGAATTTTCACTAGCACAGGTTGGAAAATGACAAATGGGGATTGGGGAGAAGTGTCCGTACTGGGTGTACGCAAAAATAAAGGCGCAGGAAATGGTTTACGCACTGTTCCCTGTTGATCGTCTTGATTTGTTACACTATTGGAGGTGCTCTGATTTACACAACGATTGAAAGGAAGTTCTTGGGAGGAATAGGTTCATAACTAGGAGTTATTGGGAAATGAAAATCATTTTGAAATCATTAACTGTCACCAAAACTATTATGAGATTTACCCACTCAGATTATCCAAGCATATATTGATATGTGTGCAAGCTCAGGTTGAACATTGCCAAATCTAGAGTCACTGGATGGTATTAGTAGATGCCAAATCTGGAAGAGGTCTTGGGAAGATGTGTTTGTACTGGTGTACGCGAAAATAAAAGCGCTGAGCAGTTAGTGGTTCACGCACTGTTTGTTACACTATTGGAGGTGCTTTGATTCTCACAACGATTGTAGAAGTTATTAGGAAACCAAAATCACATACTCTCACCCAAATTATCATGCAGTTTCCTTAGAATTTTTACTATCGTAGAATGGACACTGCCAAATCTGGCATGTGGATTTGGGAGAAGTGTTCGTACTGGGTGTACGCGAAAAAAATAATGACGCTGACCAGAAAGTGGTATACGTACTGTTTTCTGTCGATAGTCTCGATTTGTTACACTATTGGAGGTGCTCTGATTTACATACACAACGATTGAAGGTGAGTTCTTATGACAGTAGTAGGTACATAAATGCATAAATTATGACCAGGAGCTATTGGGAAACCAAAATTATTCACTTACACCAAAATTATCATGCAGTTGTCTCATCATCATTGAAGTCCGAGTAATTAGTACTTTTGCTAGCTTAGTTTGAACACTGCCAAATATGACATGGTGATTGGGGGGAAGTGTTCGTACTAGGTGTACTTGTGGTTTACGCACTGTTTTCTCTCGATGATTTTGATTGGTTACACTATTGAAGGTGCTCTGATTTTCACAACGTCTAGAGGTGAGTTCTTGAGGAAAGAGTAGGTATTTAGATACCTGCAAAAACTATAGAACTGGAAGTTATTGAGAAAACAACATCCTCAACTTTCACCCAAATTATCATGCAGTTTTCTCATTCTGATTGAAGTCCAGGTAATTAGTATTTTTTGGTTTCTCGTAGATCTAGCTAAGGTTCATTTGCCAACCTTACAATTCAATGAAATATTGTAGAGCAGAACACTGGACTGACTAATCTTCGTATTTCAATTGACGATTCGAAAATATTAGTGCCATCATGTGTATCATATTATTATCTTCTATTTGATTCGAGATATTTGACACCCAGTATATAGAATGTAACGTTGACAGATAGCAAGGTTAGAAGACGATGACAATTTTGTCAAATCCAATACAAGAACTAGAATATATCTCAAATTGATCACATAGAAGGGATCATTGAAACTCAAAAATATTATTATTGTTTACTGAAGCAGCTTCGATCAAGGTGAGTAGAAATCAGTAGTTTTCGAACCGAGAACCGATATATAAGAGAAGATAAAATGAAAATGTAGTGAAAATATAATGTAATTCATGTAGATTCTAAAAAATGTGAAGTGTACTTTGGATTATTCAAAAAACAGAGCTTCCTCTGCAGTGGCATACCATGTAATTAATTCAATTAAATTTATCCATCAACATATAATTGATAGAATTTGATATTGAGAAATACGCAGGCCGTTTTCTCCTTCAGAGTCAACCACAATTCCAATCGAATCTGTTTAGAGAATATGTCAAGAGTTCCTAACTATCAGATCATACATTCGAAAATGAATGTTTCAAATCAAACTAATGATTCAGAATACAAAAAAAGAAAAATTGACCTTAGTTTCCATATCCACTCACTCATATCTCTCAGATCATTATAAATCTATCAATTCCACTAGAAAAACTTATAAATATACATACGTTTTGGGTTGTTTTCATTTCAAATGTTTCGAATTCATTTTTAGGTTCGT